TTGATTCTCCTCCTGTCCCACTATCATGCTCAGTCCCCACCAGGATTTCAGCACTTCCTCTTTGTTACGTTCCCCTTGATCCTGACCTACCAGGTCTCCCACACCCGCCTCCCCACCAATTTGGGCTTGTTGTTCCCTTGTCCCTGGGTTTGTTATCACCTCTTCCCTTCCCCCCTCTTCCCCATCTCCCATGTCCCCCCGGAACTGTCAGTCCCGTTGTTTTCTCCTCCAGGTTGTTCATCCAGCCTGTCCTATCTAGACAGGCCTAGGAGCGGGTTTTTTAAATGTTTGACCAAATCTAGCAGGTTGAAAGTTGATAAACTTGTATGGCCTGAGAATGATGCTATGAATATGCAAATGACCCTAGGCAGAACAGAAGTTCCCCACCCCTGCTTTAGGGGGACAGACAGTTACATTTTCTCCCGTAGAGTGGCTAATGGGTTTCAACTGCTGTTCTTACTGGTTAGCAGCCCAGCACCTGTTCCACAGCGCCACCAGGCCTCTGTGACATTTACCAGCGTGGGAAAGCGAGGTCTTTCTCCAGAGGACCGACAAGTAATTTCATACTGCCGATCTTGCAGTTAGCAGACCAATGCCTGCCTAACTGCTAAGCCACTAGGGCTCCTTGAGAGGAGGCAGTGTGCTCTTAATTCGAGAAGCATGGCCTTTTAAGGGCTGAGGGTACCAAAAGGAATTTGCATTGGTATTGAGGGAGACTGAGTGAGGCTTGAGACCTGTTCTTGACTGTGGGCTGTAGTCAAGTGACTACATAATTTTGATCTCAAATTGCCCCTTTATGAAATGGGAAAACAATTTGCAGGTAGGTAGGAGGTCCACACAAAAACAAACAATAACAACAACAACAAAGGGAGGGGAACGGGGGAGGGAGAAGAGAGAAAGAAAGACAGACAGACTAAGCACCTAGCCCAGTATGAAAACTTTAAAGTACACAGTAGAGGCGGATGAATTGGGACAGCTCAGTATACATGACCTAATTTTCTAAAGAGGATTGAAGACATGTGGATTAAATCTTAACTTTAAAATGTGTCTGGAACATTTGGGCATTTCTCAAGGAGTCAGCTGGAATGCTTTTATAGTTTAGTATGTTTAAATGTAGTATTTAGGAATCCGTAATTGTGGCATGCCCTTATATCCTTGCTGGAAGGCAAAACTTTCTCTATGATGTGGTGGCCAGCTTATGAGGCTGCCCTAAGTTCGAACTTGCATCGAGTCCGTTTTGTTTGTATGATGTTTTGTGATGTGTCTGCCCCCAGGCCCAGCCCCAGGAGTGAATTCTTAGATGGCAGCTCAGGACCCACCATTGTCTGCTTCTCTGATCTTCAGCAAATCATGTGCCCATTAGTGGGTTTCTTTAGTGTAAAGATGATTTACCTAATTAATTTAGCTTCAGAGAATAAAATGAAATGGTACATGGATGCTTGTTGAAAATACAAAGTTGAAAGTGTTCTCTGGATAGTTCCTGACTTGGTGTTTGATTGTGGTGAAATCCCAGGAATGATGTTTTATTGCTGCCTAGAGCTGCTGATTCATATTTTAGTCCCTGCTTTCTAGTGAATCCGCTTGTACTCGGGACTTAAAGGAATGTTTGACAGCCAACGTTGTGGGGAAAACCCAGAGAATTACTGATGCTGAAGGTTCTTAGAAGAGCCCTGGAGGTGCAGGGGGTCAGGTGTGGTTGAGCTGCTAACCACAAGTCTGGGAGTTTGAACCCACCAACTGCTCTTGAGACAGTTGTGGCATCTACTTCCATGAAGATGTACAGCCTCTGAAACCCCGTGGGGCAGTTCTACTCTGCCCTATAGGGCTACTGCCCTGTAGAGTTGTAATCAACTTGAAGTGGATTTTATTTTAAAGGCTATTATGAACATTTCTTAAGCCATCCCATTAAACTGTGTCACCTCCTTGAAATTCTTTTTCCTTTTTTAAAACTTTCTTCCAGGCCCTAATATATTTTGGTTTCTGTAGGAAATGCCTATGTAATTCAATGATGATTTTATCATATAATTTCTCTTAATTTTTAGTGTACCTTTTTTGTAAATTAAGAGAAAAAGCATTGAAGTAAAAAAAGGTATTGCTTATAGAAACTTAAGGTGAGGGAGCAAGCCTCTTCACTAGCGTGCTGGGTTGCACAGATTTAAAGATGGCCAAGCCAGATCTCAGCTCTGCGGCACAGACCTTGAGACAAAGGGAGAGCGGTCCACCTGCCGTCCTGGAAGCCTGGATGTGGCTGGGAATTGCAGTGTGAACGTTGGGCTCCTTCTCAGCGTGTTTGCCTTTCAGGTTGTGGTGGAGGACATTGTCCTGGATTCCCACAGTGATCACGTTTGTGTTCTTTCACACAGGCCAGCCCTCCCGAGCTCTATGTTGAAAGATTTCATGTAGCTCTTGGACAGTATATGGGAGCACTGCAGAGCATTGTGCCTCTTTTCATATACATGGTAAGTTCGAGCTGTCTCCTCCTTCCCAGATACGGCCATCGAGTGATGGGTCTAAACACAGACAGATGGAGTGATCGAAACACGCTCTGTTTTTCTCTTACTATTAATTGTGTTAGAGATGGAAATTAAACTCTGAGTTATGCCTCATTATTGTTGAAATAGAAGAATGAGATCAGTTGTTTCCTCCAGTCAGAACTCACCAAAGACAGCTGGTGCCCTGTGTCCCCGAAAGTCAGACAGCCCCCCAAAATAAGACCTAATTACAGTTTTGACTCTTGCAAAAATATAAGGCACCCCCTCGAAAATAAGACCTCCCAAAAAATAAGGCCTCCCGAAGCGACAGTAACTGGACTTTGGACCATAGCGGCTGGCGCCGCTGCACAGCTCACTGTTGGCTGCAGCACAGCAGGAGCAGGCAGGAGTGTGAGGTCTCTTTTAATAAAACAATAAACAATAAATGTGTACCATATTCTTCTTCATGGAAAAATAAGACATCCCCCTGAAAATAAGACCTAGCGCATCTTTGGGAGCAAAAATTAATATGACACTGTCTTATTTTCGGGGAAACAGGGTAGAGCCTTGTCTTTGTTTGGGTTGTCTTACGCCAGTTGACTGTGATGTCTCCTGATACTTTGCTTCTGAGCGCCTGGGCCCAGCAACTCCTTCTCTCAAGGTGTTTGGTTATGTCAGAGTTTTCATAGCTTTGACCCTTATATGTTTCACCGTATTCATGGGTAAATTTGCAGCAAAGGTAAATACTGTATGCACCAATAGCCTCTGTCAAATCTGTATACGTGTAACCAATGTGTGATTTAGATGATTTAGAAGGTGGGAGTTTGGACTTGGAGTTGATTTAAGACTTTTGGGGTGATGTGTTTTAGCCTGTGGTAAGGGCATGTGGTGGGGGTTGGGAACAATGATTTCATTTTACCTGGATCCACAAGGAAAGCTTATGGAAGAAGGTAGCAGTCAAGAAATCAAATGCTGTATTGCGCTGCGAAAATCCGTTGCCCAACACCTCTTTAGAGTGTTGAAGAACAAAACTGTCCCTTTGAGGAGGCCGAAGGTACACCTGACTCAAGCCAGGGTGTTTTGGTCACGTCCTATGTGTGTGAAAGCTGACTGCTGCATATGAAGATGGAAGAAGAATGGATGCATCGGAATGATGGTTTGTGGGGAAGAATATTGCATCGTAGTGTGGACTTCCAGAACAGACAGATCTGTCTTGGATGCAATTCAGCCAGAATGTTCCTGAGGATGGTGATGCTTGTATGTGCATATGTCCCATGCACTTTGGCTGTGTTTTCAGGCGGAACTGGTCCCTGGAGAAAGACACCTTGCTTGGTCAAGGGCCAGCACAGTGGAGGAAGACTCACTGAGCTGTATGGACCCAGCAGCAGCAACAGTGGGCTCCAGTAACACAATCGAATCAGAACTGACTTGAAAGCACTTACTAACAAAGGTTGAAATAAATATCACGTATGGTGTATGGTAACTCCCCACTCTGTGCTGTAATCTCATCTGGCAATGGGTGACCTTACGTTAATGAGGGTGTGTCTTGAGGGATTTCATTTGGAAATACCAGCTTAAGCTAACAGGAAGAGGTGGAGTGAGAGACCGGCAAGCCACAGGAAGACCCCCGTGTGCAGAAGAGAGCTCCCTCCAGAGTTGGCAGAGAGAGCCAGCCTCCTTGAACTGGCACGGTAACGTGTGAGAATGTGAGTGTGTCTGTTCCAGCCACCACTTGTAGTGCTATTGCTCGAGTAGCACTAGATCGCTCACACACACCAATGCCGGCTGTAAGAGTTCATGGGGCTTCCGCAATGGCGTACTGTGGCCAAGGCCAGAAGGTACAGAAGGCGATGGCGCAGCCCATCAACCTCCTCTTCAGATACTTGCGAAATAGATCGCGGATTCAGGTGTGGCTCTATGAGCAAGTGACTATGCGGATAGAGGGCTGTATCGTAGGCTTTGATGAGTACATGAACCTTGGATTAGATGACACAGAAGAGATTCATTCTAAAACAAAGTCAAGGAAACAACTGGGACGGGTCATGCTGAAATGAGATCACATTACTGTGTTACAAAGTGTGTCCAACTAGAAATGATCGATGAAGTGAGACGCTGAGGACAAGAGCTCCTCCACTCCCCCCTTTTAAGTGTTCTTTGTTATGAATATAGTTCTAAGACATGGCTCATATTGTTTTCATTGCCCTGATGTTGTTACTCAACCACAATAAATGGCTTCTGTGGGATTGTTTAAAAAAAAAAAGGGATTTTCTACTCACTACAGTTCAGAAGAAACTTTTTTTGCCTTTTCTTTCCCAGACTTACCCAGAGAGAAAGGGAATTTGTAAAAGCTGTTTGGTCAAGTTTTAGGACTCTTCTCTGAATCATGAAACTTTAGGGCCCCTGGGTCAGCAGGACTCACTCCTTGGCAAGGACTTGGAAAGCCTGGGAAGTAGTCCTATGAGGTCATCATCCCATTGGTGAACTCCTCTCATGGGTGTGTCACTAGTTGTGTGGGGCCAGTATCTTGTACTGTATAAGAAACGGTTTAATTTCCCTTCCTTATTTTTCCTGGGGCTTTCTGTTTTTGTTTTATTGGCATATAATTCACATAGCCTACAATTCAATAGTTCAGTCATATTAAGAAGAATTGTACACCCATCATCACCCTAGTCAATATTAGAACATTTTATTCTGTCGCGTACTCAGCTGTTAGTAGCTCCCTGTTTCTCCTCAGCCTCCCCTGCCATGCCCCTGACAAACCATTAATCCAGTTAGTCTTGATCGATTCACCTAGCCTGCATTTCATACCCACCTTTTTCTTCCAAAAATATAACAAAGTACAACAGGGAAAACTGCAGTCGAAAACTAGCATACATTTTAAAAAGTCAAGGGGGAAATCAAATGTTAAGGGGTTAACTTTTAGCCTGGTTGCTGTTTTAAAGCTGTAACTGCAAGAGACTGAATGGGGAGGGCTGAAAGGTAGTGCTTATTTGCAAGGTAGTTAAGAGTGGGTGAAAGGGGGAGGGGGAGGGGGGAAAGGAAAATGAGCGGATTCCAGGAACCCAAGAGGAAAGCGAATCTTGGGAATGATGAGGGCAACAGATGTATAGATGTGCTTTACACAATTGATCTATGTATGGTGATGAATTGTATGAGCCCCGATAAATTGATTAAAAAAAAAAAAGACAGTAGAATACCTAATGTCTTTATAAACTGTGATCTTTATAAACTGCGACATAATAAAATTAAATATAAATTTAAAAAAAGAGTGGGTGAAAGGGCCTACTTTTCTTACATGTTGGCTGTTTTCACAGCACTGATTAGTGGGGGGTTAACGTTAACATAACGAGGCAAAATGGGAAGAATTTTTAAAAAATTCACTAGGACAGGAACATGAATCACATTCCTACTTTCCTGTAATGCTGTAGTTGCTTTCTGAAACTCTATGATAGACTCCTAGGGCTTAAGAAGTAGATATTATTTGAGAATAAATTAGCTTACTTTATCTCAGCAAAACTTGGGTGAGGGATCTTTGTTTTAAATGAAGATTAGCCGCAACTTCTCATATGGATTAAGAGCTCAAATTGGCTTTTTAGCTATTTGTGAAAACTTTTTATTGCCCAGAAAATAGACAATTCTTTCAACTTGGGCACTGCTTTGTTGGGAAGGTGTGTTATTTAAAGGAAACAATTTGAAATATCAAACTTTTAGGACCACAGTCAGCAAAATGCCTTTGTTAGTTGCAGAAAGAGAAAAAGGAGTTTAGTTAAACATTTCTGGCCACTGTTAGAATTGTTTTACTTCAGGTGGTCTGCCTGTGTGGGCATTTAAGAAATCATTAAACTAGAAACTAAGTTGTCCCTATCTGTTTACTAATTATCCATTCTGTATGCTGAGCAAATTCTCAGCAAGCTGAACCATCTGAGGAAGACCGTGGCGTAGGATCGGAGGAGGAGGGCTTGTTCACAAGCACTGATGTGCAGGTGACACCTAGGAAGGTGATGACCCTTGCTCGCTTGCTGACGCGTTTGACGCACTCGATGAAAAGCAAACACCGCGCAGCTTTCAGCGTGAATTATAACTCAATGTAAAGAAAGCAAAAATGAGCAGAACTGCACCAATAGGTAACCTCATGATCAATGGAAAAAGATCAGAGTTGTCAAGGATTTTGTCTTGGCTTGGGTCCACGAGGCAAGCAGGAAGCAGCAGTCAGGAACTCAGTATGCATTGGGCACACCTGCTGCCCCAAACCTCTTAAAATGTTGAAAAGCAAGGATGTTACTTTGAAGACTAAGGTGTGCCTGACTGAAGTCATGGTCTTCTCAACTGCCTCATGAGCATATATGAAAGTTGCACAATGAATAAGGAAGACTGAAGACAAATTGAAGTAACTTGAATCATGACGTAACTTGAATTACTGTGTTGGCAAAGAATACCGAAAGTATGGTGGACTGCCAGAAGAACAAACAAGTATGTCTTGGAAGAAGTACAGACAGAATGCTCCTTAGAAGGAAGGATGGATAGACTTGTGCCCTATACTTCGGACATCGAGAGAGGCCAGTCGCTGGAGAAGGACATCATGCTTGGTAAAGTAAATGGGGAGTGACAGGAAACTGAGGAGGAGGTGGATTAACACAATGGCTACAACAAGGGGCTGAAAATGTAATGCTGTGAGAACGGCACAGCCCCCGGTGATGTTTTGCTCTGTGGTACCCAGCATCGCGCTGTGAGTCTAGCCAGCGCACAACACCTACCAGCAAAGCGCTTACACGACCAGGATGGATTGCTGTTTACAGAGATCAATTGAAGACATTAAATATATTTGCTTAGCGTGTTGGAGCTTAAACTGATACCCGAGAAAAAGTTGAACACCTTCTGGTATTTGGAAAGGTTTGAAAAGTTTCAGAGCTCTTTAGAAGTGTTTGCAGTTTCTCCTTTTGATGAGTTCTGGCTCCGGAATGGAGTAGGAAGGTCGTATTAGAACACTTGTCCCTTGAGGTCCTAAGTGTAAAGAGGACAATATACTAGGAGTGAGAAACACTGTAAATACAGAATATTTTCCTTGAGAGTTAAACAATTACATCTTTTATTCTCATATATAAACTACAGAACCTCAGTGATGCCTAATTCACTTCAAAGGCTTGAAGTATTACTACCACCAAATCAATTTTGTACCTTATTTTGATTAAAAAATCTTGAGTGTGCTCAAGTACTCCCTCAACACAAGAATACTTTCTTCTAGTAAATTGGCATTCTATGATGCTCACCTTCCCGACACAACCGCTGAAGACAAAGCGGGTGAATAAGCAAATGTGGTGAAGAAAGCTGATGGTGCCCGGCTATCAAAAGATATAGCGTCTGGGGTCTTAAAAGCTTGAAGGTAAACAAGCGGCCATCTAGCTCAGAAGCAACAAAGCCCACATGGAACAACATATCAACCTGTGTGATCACGGGGTGTCGAACGGATCACTGAAGACAAATGGGTGCATAAGCAAATGTGGTGAAGAAAGCTGATGGTGCCCGGCTATCAAAAAGTATAGCGTCTGGGGTCTTAAAGGCTTGAAGGTAATCAAGCGGCCATCAAGCTCAGAAGCAACAAAGCCCACATGGAAGAAGCACACCAGCCTATGCAACCACGACGTGTCGAAGGGATCAGGTGTAAGGCATCATCAGAACAAAAAATCTTACCATAGTGAATGATGGGAGTGTGGAGTGGAGATCCAAAACCCATTAGTAGGCCACTGGAGATCCCCTTGCAGAGGGGTCTCGGGGAGGAGATGAGCCAGTCAGGGTGTGATGTAACAATGATGAGAAATACAACCTTCCTCTAGTTCCTAAAGGTTTCCTCCCCGCTCCCACTACCATGACTCGAATTCTATCTTGCAAGACTGGCTAGACCAGAGGAGGTACACTGGTACAGATAGGAACTGAAAATGCAGGGAATCCAGGATGGATGAGCCCTATAGGACCAGTGGTGTGAGTGGCAAAACAGGGAGGGTAAAGGGAGAATGGGTAGGAAAGAGGGAACCGATTACATGGAACTGTGTGTGACCTCCTCCCTGGGGGACAGACAACCAAAAAGTGGGTGAAGGGAGACGTCGGACAGGGCAAGATATGACAAAATACCCATTTGTAAACTATCAAGGGCTCATGCGGGAGGGGGGAGCGGGGAGGGAGGGGAAAAATGAGGACCTAATGTCGGGGGTTTAAATGGAGAGAAAATGTTTTGAGAAACGATGTACAAATGCGCTTTACACAATTGATGTGTGTATGGATTGGGATAACAGTTGTATGAGCTCCTAATAAAATGTTAAAAAAAAAAAATCTTGAGTGTGAAAATAGCTTTATGGTTGAGATTTTTATTAGTTTAATTTTTAAAATAAATGACTTTTCTAGGTACTATTTATTTTCAAAAGGGAAAAGAAATTCTTAGAAATAAAGTATAGCAGTTAACTTGACCTTATGTTAAAAATTCATGTCAAAAAATAAACTTAATTAACTACAAAAACTGCTGGAGGAGAAATCGAATATGGAGTGACTAACCTTACCTGATATTAAAATGAATGAAAAAGCTACAGTAATTACCTGATATGAGTATCAGGGCTATGCTAATTAAAGAGTTTGTTCTCAGGGCAGGAATAGTCCGGAACCAAGAGGACACGTCAGACCTCTGAGGGAGGTGGGTCATTGCATCGCGGGATGTTAGGACAGCGGGTAGTCATCTTGAGGTTGAGGGCAGGGAAGACTAGTCCTCTTATTTTTGTTTTTGTTAATTGGTACACAGTTCACATACACACTCATCTCACCCACGGAAAGTGATTTTAGGTCATTCTGACTTGCGTAGCTATCAGCACTATCAATTTTAGGACATTTTCATCACCTTGAAAAGAAAACCTTATGCAGTGGCAGCTACTCTTTTCTTTCACAACTCCAAAGTCCCCCTTGCTCTGAAAGATGAGCTTTTTACCACCTAAGTACTAAATGCATGCCTTTACCACTATAGGTATTTAGCTTTGCTTTTATTTGATGAGTAGAGATGGCAACCTTGCTTTATGTGTTTCTCTCTTATTTTACTCAGCATATTTCTGTGTTCTTGTATACAATTAACTTACTGATATATTTCATATAACTTTGGCCTATTTCTAATCGCCTTCTGTAATAATTCAAGTGAATAATCTAGTCCACGTCTTCTGATACAAGAGATTCTCTAGCATATATCTGGAAGTACACCTTTTGGTTGCAAGTTCAGCTTCAAAAATAATGCAAAAGTCTGTTCCAAAGTGATTATAAAAATGCATAGTTGAGTCAGGGATTCAGATTGTTCCACGTCCTTGCCAACAGGTAGTATTGTCAGGCTTCTTGTTTTCTGCTGACAGTAGGTGCAAAATGTATGTCATACGTGTGCTGTAAATTTTGTAATTTCATTATGAAATAGATATAAGATTTTTGCCAGAGTGTATCATGCTCACCTTCACTACACAATCACTGAACACAAAGTGGGTGAATAAGCAAATGTGGTGAAAAAAGCTGATGGTGCCCGGCTATGAAAAGATATAGCGTCTGGGGTCTTAAAGGCTTGAAGGTAAACAAGCGGCCATCTAGCTCAGAAGCAACAAAGCCCACATGGAAGAAGCACACCAGCCTGTGTGATTACGAGATGCCGAAGGGATCAATTATCAGGCATCAAAGAACAAAAAATCATACCATTGTGTGCTCACCTTCCTGATAAGATTGCTGAAGACATAGCGGGTGCATAAGCAAATGTGGCGAAGAAAGCGGATGGTACCCGGCTATGAAAATATATAGTGTCTGGGGTCTTAAAGGTTTGAAGGTAAACAAGTGGCCATCTAGCTCAGAAGCAGCAAAGCCCACATGGAAGAAGCACACCAGCCTGTGTGATCACAAGGTGTCGAAGGGATCAGGTATCAGGCATCATCAGAACAAAAAAATCATATCATTGTGAATGAGGTGGGGAGTGTGGAGTGGAGACCCAAAGCCCATTTGTAGGCCACTGGACATCTTACAGAAGAGTCTCAGGGAGGAGACAAGCCAGTCAGGGTGCGATGTAGCAACGATGAAACATACAACTTTCCTCTAGTTCCTAAATGCTTCCTCCACCCCCACCCCCACTATCATGATCCGAATTCTACCTTACAAATCTGGCTAGACCAGAGGATGTACACTGGTACAGATAAGAACTGGAAGGAAACACAGAGAATCCAGGGCGGATGATCCCTTCGGGACCAGTGGTGAGAGTGGCGATACCGGGAGGGTAGAGGGAAGGTGGGTTGGAAGGGGGGAACCGATTACAAGGGTCTACAAAGAACCTCCTCCCTGGGGGACGGACAACATAAAAATGGGTGAAAGGAGATGTCGGACAGTGCAAGATATGACAAAATAATAATTTGTAAATTATCAAGGGTTCATGAAGGAGTGGGGAGCGGGGAGGGAGGAGAAAAAATGAGCTGATGCCAGCGTCTTGGTTGGAGAGCAAAGGTTTTTGAGAATGATGAGGGCAGTGAATGTACAAATGTGCTTTACATAATTGATGTATGTATGGATTGTGATAAGAGTTGTATGAGTCCCTAATAAAATGATTTAAAAAAAAAGATTTTTGCCAGTTTAACCACTTCTAAGTATGTAATTCCATGGCAGATGTTGTATTCACCATGTTGTACACCTGTCACCAACTGCCTTCTTCTTTATAAAAAAATTCTAGATGGCACAGTTCTTTTAAATGAATTCCTTAAAGGATTAAAAGAACATGTCCAAATAGTAGAGTGAGAAAATAACTTTGTAAGCAAAAGCCTAACCCTAGAAGCCATGAGGGAAAAGAAAATAGACATCGACAATACCAAATTTAGGAACTTCCGTATAGCAAAACCATAAAACACAATTGTAGATTGTTTTACATTTGACCTTAGCCAGAAAAGCTGAGAAGCAGTGCCATCAGCTTTTAAGATATAAGACTAAGTAATTGCTTTTCTCTTTAAGGATAACCCGCTTCTGTTGCAAACTGGAGAAAGGATGTGAATAGACGGATCACACACAAAAATGTACAGTTAGCCTATACACATGAAAATATGCTCAACATCATAGTTAAGACCCAACTCACTGCCAGCAAGTCCATCGAACTGGACTCCTAGTGATCCAGTAGAACCGAGCAGTGCTGCTCCCTTGGGTTTTCAGGCTGCCCATCTTTAAGGGAACAGACAGTCTCATCTCTCCCTGGTTGGTTTGAACTACTGACCTTGTGGTTAGCAGGCTACCATGTAATCACCTATGTCACCAGGGCTATTTTCATACTGATGAAAAAAATAACAAGGTAAAATGAAATTAAAAAAAAATTAAGCCCCTTTCAGTTCATGGAAGCTTGCCATTTGTACCCAAAAATTGCCAATCAGGTCTGCAGAGCCTGGCGGGAAACAGGCTCCTCACACATTTGTAAATTGGTGAGCTGCTCTGGAAAATGAGTTTGCGGTTCCCTTTGAAGTTAAAATGTACATATATAGTCTCTGACTCAGAAATCATAACATGAGGAATCTACCATAGGGTAACTAAACTTAAGCTTGTGGAAATAAATGTGGACAAGAATGTGTCTTGCCTTTGTTACTTTTAGTACAGAACACTGGTGGGTGGGGAGTCTGACTTCTCAGTAGGGAACTCCCAGGCGACTGGAAGGAGTGGGTGCTTGACCACCAGCCCGTGATTGCCGATGCAGCCCCACCCAGAGGTGGAGACTCACTTTGAAAACCTCGTGGGGCATTTCTGCTCTGGGGTCTCTGAGTCAGAATCCACTCATTGGCAATTAGCAGGAGAAGTCAAATAATTTTATGGAAATGCTTACAGTAGAAAACGGGCGGTTAAAAACCATATGTCTTTATGTTATGTGAGAGAGCAATCTTGAGGGTAGGGATAAGGTCTAGGTACAAAGCAGTGTGTAATACTCCCTCACTTGTCTTTCTTGATGTTTTAGGAAAACAGAAAAGCACGTCCACATGTAAGGAAGGATTGTTTTAGAGTGTAAATAAGAATTTTCCCCATGGTGGGACCAATGGGAATGGGCTTGGGGCGGGAGGCTGGTTTTGTTGCTTGCTTTTGTACGTGGGCTTACTTTTTTAACCATGTGTTGCCTGTAGAAGTGTTTTAAAAGAGCAAAAAAGAACGACATTTTAAGAATTAAGAGGATCAGTGAGCACCCTTTATATAGTTTTCCACTCTCATGCGTTGAGTTAACATTTAAACATGAATAAATTTGATCTTGGGTTTGTAAGTCACTGTTGTCGGCATGCTTTGGGCTACAGGAAATGGAAAACCGGGTTCAAAGTGATTTAAGCAGATGAAGGAAAGCGTTATCTCCTGCCAACAGAGCTCCCAGGACTGCAATCTCTGCAGTTGGTTGAGTTCATGGTTCAATAGTGTGACCGAGGACCCGAGCTTGTTTGTGTCTGTGCTGTCCGTGCACGGTGCCTGCTTTATGGGAGTCTCACGCCTATCCAATGGCTTGAAGAAGCTCCACCGTTGAGCCTAGGTTTCTTCTCCCAGTCTCCTTGGACAGACAATATGTCGTCTCCCTCTGAACCAAAGACAGACTGGGGGGAGTGTTCTAAACCAAGCAACATGGTATTACCATTGGGAAAGGGATGCTTGGTGGGGGCTCAGCCTATGCCATTAGTAATGTTAAAGAGCAAAGGAAATATCTCCCACACAGTGTGATTCCAAATGTGTGCCCCCTGTCCTTACTGCAGGGAGTGTTTCCTCGTGTTCCTCTGGAGGGGGGTGGCTCACTGCATTTTGTCTGTGTGTGTTCTTAATCCTTTGCTAGAAAGACATTCAACTATAGTAGCAAGGCTTTTGCCATTAGCTGTTGTGTTTTTGTTTTATTTAATGGGTAGGGCTATCTTTATGTATTTCTTGCCTAAAGTAAATTCTTTTTGGGGGGTTTCAGTTTATTAGAATAATTAATCACTTTCTTTTAATAACTAATCGTTTTCTTCCAATTGATGCACTGAAAAAGAACTTTTCCCCCCCTCAGAATAAATTTTACATTGAAACCAAGCTTAACAGAGACTTAAAGGACGACCTTATAAAGCTGTTTACGGAACACGTTGCCGAAAAGCACATCTACAGCCTGATGCGTAAGTCGGCGACCCTATTGTCGGGGTGGCAAAGTGCCAGCAGTGACCTCATTGTGGTCGGGGAGCATGGCCAGGCAAGCCTCAACGTTGACCGCTTTGGAACCAGAGTGTAGGGAGTTTTGAAACCTTGTATAATATAGCGAGAGAATGCCGGAGGAATTGGAAATGTGGCTTGTAGGGTAGGATGCCCAGAGAACTGGCATGAGCTTAGCCAGGTCACTTATTGAACGATACCTTTCTATGTGGCCTGAGACTTGCTGCCACCTCTCCCCAGTAATTGGAGAAGTAACCACTGGGGTTCACTCTCACTTTGCTGCCAGTAGTAACTACGGAAGGAAAGGTCATGTAGGTTCCTCTGATTTGGGCTGTTCTGGCTCAGTCCTTTACTCTTCATTGTCTCCGGCGAGCTTCTTAGCCTCCTGTGGACCTGTGGTGTGTGAAATGGAGATTTGGAAGGTGTTGACCTTGCAGTGTGTATCTTTAAGGGAGCAAGCAGGTCAGCATGTCACGCCCACCCACTGGGCTGCCTTCCCTCCTGCCCTCACTGCAGACCTCTGCAAGTGGAAGTTGGGAAGTCCTGATACCTGGTGTGTTGGCATCCCTTAAAACAGTGGGTCTCCACCTTCCTCATGCCGTGACCTTTCATACAGTTCCTCATGTGGCGACCCCCCAACCATAACATTATTTTCATTGCTACTTCATCACTGTCATTTTGCTGCTGTTATGAATTGGGTGACCCCTGTTGTGAAAGGGTCGTTTGACCCCCAAAGGGGTCTTGACCCACAGAGGGGTTGAGAGCCGCTGCCTTAAAAGCTCCTTGTTTGTGTCGCTTTCCAGACTCTCACGTGTAATGATCGGGATTTGCCCTGTGCATCTTTTTCTCTCCTGTGAGTCATAATTCATTTCTTGCCACAGTAAACCTTTGCTAGACTTTACAAAAGAATTGTTCTGTTATTAACCCCAAGCTCGATTCTATTTTTTAATTTAGATTAAGGAACTTTTTGACATTTGGGCCAGCTGATTTCATTATTCTGTTCCTAAAAGATCCTAGAATCTTGGGCTATGACATTTTCTGTTTTGTTTTTTTTAAAGTTTGGACCGATGTTTACAAACATCCTTCAGCATTGCCTCCTGAGCTGTTTTAGCTTTTAATTAAAACTGCTCAGGGATCTCCTCAGGTGTTGTCATTTGTCTTTCAGTCTAAAAGAGAACACAGCGTTTGGAAGCTGTTTCTGTCACAGTGCTAGAGAGAAATGCTACCAAGCTTACCTACTTTGTAAACATGTTTTTACATCTGCCGGTAATTTGGAAGCCAATTTTTGTTGGGCATATACAAAGGCAATATTCAGAAGAAAATCGATTAGTTCATACCCGCTACCTAGAGGGATGTTCTTAATCGTTAACAACAAATCTCCCTCCCCTCCCCTCCTTGGGAAAGTGAGAGAAAGCCCGCACTGTGGTCGGAGTCAGCAGGGTCACGTCCATGGTGAGCAGGGCTGTGAAAGTGGGCAGCGGCTGCCCTTCATTTGAAGAAATGTCCTTGAAGCTGTCACCTTGGGGACAGTGCATTTCTGAACCTGATTATAGCTACTACAGAGCCTCCCGTATGGTGATTTGGGGGGAGGAGGAATGATTGAGGGAGTTCACTGTGTAATGCAAGCATCTAGGGAACATTTTGTTCCCCGAATGTAAATCTTTTAAATCATGTGCTTAATAGAAGCACTTCGGGCTCACCCACTATTGCTTTTAGAAAGCTTTACTCGCTTATTTCAGACCCTTCCTTGAATTGGCCCCATTAGAGCTCCGGGAGCCGGCACAGATTTGCTTTGGGAGTGCTGAACGAGAGCAGCACACTCTTGGTTGGCCCTCAGGCGGTTCTTTTTGAAAGAGGAACGTGAGTGAAGCCTTGGCCGTCGGGATGATGTCCTTCTTACAACACCTTTTTCTCTTCTTATTGCAGCTTTACTTTTAGAAGCCCAGTCGACACCTTTTCAGGTCACGCCTGCGACGATGGCGAATATCGTGAAAGGCCTGTATACCCTCAGACCAGGTACAGTGCACGGTTTCTATGGGGATTGGGCTTGTTTGTTTTGGCAGTTCCAGCCTTATCCAAGGGGGCATTGTTTCGATAGGTCTTGGTGAGGGCGATGGGTGTTGAGATTGTTGCTATCAAACACAAATTGAGTAGACTGGCACTGCCAGGACTCCCCCAGGCGCGCTGGGGACCACAGAAATCGGCCACGGGTTTGTGCAGCACCTATGAGGAAACAGTGCAAGAGAACTGGTAGGAGAACCTGCAGTAAGTGCAGCTGCATAGCCTGGCTGCAGCTCGGTCTTTGTTTGGATGGAGTTTCTTTCACTTGCCTGAGGGCACTCTGGAGACGCACAGACATTCACACTGACAACAGGGTGTTCACGGGCTGATTCTGTAACTTGCCAGGAGTCTGGAAGTGCTGGCCAAGTGACAGTCATTTTAGACAGGTGTTTCAGGACGATCCATAACCAGGGTAACAGAGCCAAATGTCAAAGACTCATTTAATTAGCGTGTACTTGGTTTTAGAATAATGGAGCCCTGCTGGTGCCGTGGCTCAGGCCTGCCTGCTAACCAAGAGGCCAGCCACGGGAACCCACCTGCCCCTTCTGGGAGAAACACGTGGCAGTCCGCTTCCATGAAGATTCCCAGCTTTGGACGCCCCGGACAGTTCTGCTCGGTGGGATAGGCTCGCTAGGAGTTGCATTTGGTCCTAGCATAAAAACACGGACTGAAAGGGATCCCAAGACGCTTCCTGATACAGGAGGACTTCAAAAAGGTCATGGGACACTGGGAATGAAAAGATACTGGATTTTTTTTTGGGGGGGGGGCTACCGGATCTTTTTCTGGGAACTTTTTGACACCCCTGTTATATCCTCCTGCCCGCTTATAAGCCCAGGCTCAGGGTGTGGCATAAATGGTTTTATTAATTTCAAAGACGAGATGTCAGGATTTAGCTCGTTAAGAGACAAAATTAAGTGGAAACTGGGTGGAAACAGACTGTGATGTCAGAAACTGGCTTCTTTCTCAGGCTCCTTTAGCCCCCAGTGGTGTCTGGAGTACGTACGTCTAATGTGACCCAACTCTGGGTCTGGACTTGAACTGTACACCACATGCATTTTAAAAACCACAAAATATCAAAACTCTCTTCTTTCATGTGTCCAATCAACTGACATGCAGGGGCCTCAAAAACTTTGGTGGAAAAATTCCATGATCTCGTCATTTTATTTTCCATGTCCTTTCTGAAGCCCCCTTGCATTTTTCTTTTTACGGTTTCTCAGAATATTCCACTTTATTACAGTGAGGAGAGCGGCTCAAGATTTCTCTGTTCAGTGCTAATTGTGTATTCTGTTAGAAGTCATCTCCCCACGCAGCGTGACAGACGTCTACATTCTCCTTCCCAAGGAGGCAAGTTTATCGTAACTTCACTCTACTTGTCAATCATAAAGAATAGAACCCCAGAAGAAGTTGATCATTAGGGCTCTAAACACATTGCAGCTACACATTTATCTGACTGCTGTGTTACCCACATTTGAGCTCTTAGAGTGGCATTCATACCACTTACAAGGAGAATTCTATATTCAAGAGTTGCCCTTTGGCAAAGGTGAATTCTGTCACAGGCTAGCCTTTTGCTGCCCTAGGCCCTTTCTGAGATACTTTTAAACGTATTTTGGCATTTACATGCCTTAGCAGTGCCCATTATGTTCCTAGTTTATCAAAGTGTTTTTATTCACTTGCCGGATTAAAGTTTAAGACTCTTTGAAATGATGGATTTTACCGGTGACAGTTTCTGCCACGGTAGTGGCTGCTTCTCTGGGACTGATCTTTGTAGAATAACTACACCTTTTTTTTTCCCAAGGAAAATGTCTTCTTTTTTTTTTTT